CATGAGAAGAAATCACAAATGGATAAAGGCTGGAGAGTTGCTTAAGACAAGAGGTAAAGATGAGCTGCAATGGAAATTGACTGGATGTTGCAGACCTCACAGAATTAACCAGCTAGAATGCTCGTAGTAGTTTTTAAAAAAGAAAGAAAGAAAAAAGCCTTTGCTTGTCATTATGGTGACTTAGATTTATTATACTCTACTACGTCAGTTGTCTAAAAACTTGGTTCCTAGGTGACAATGCCGACTCAGTCGCGGTAACGAGCTAATTTAGAAAAAGCAAAGTAGAGCTCTCATGTGGGAGTGGAAAATTCAACATTTGCCTTTTTGACAAGCTCCAGTAAAATGGTGGAATTTTACAGATGAACTGAATATGCCCATACAGTCCAAGGACTAAGGGTGGATCAAAACTTAGGAAATCAACTTCAACCTATTAAAAATGAAAGATTCCTTTAACATTTAACCACTGATCAAAAAAGGTAGTGATTTCTATATAATTTTCCTTGTGGAACCAACAGTAAGTAGGGCTGGCTGCCGCAGTCCACATAGCCTGTGCGATCTCATTTCAATTTTCAGAATGCCTTTCTCTTTACAGTCCTAATTCCCATTAAAGATTTTAATAAATGATAAAACTTACCTTAAAATTAATGTAAAAACTAAAGTGTGACCAGACAATATGCTGTAGCACTGATAATTAAATTTAATGAAATTATCGGTCTTGACAAATAGTCTGTAGCAACTTGCATGCTGCCAAAGATAGAGCCTGCAAATTTGTAGGACTCAAATGCTGTGAGTGCCCCCGCCCCTTCTCCCTCCATCAAAGCCATAAAAGCAATCTTTGAAGAGATACCAAGTAAGAGTCTTGATATTCTTCTACCAAATTAACAACATATTAGGAACCAGTTTGGCAGGTTATGAGTGATTGGTAAAAATTTCTCTTAATTTTGAGAATTCCCATGTATCCTTAGGCAACATATATAATTTTAAGAAACAGCTATAAAAACTTTTCTTAAAATGTGAGAAAAGACAACACAGCCCTCACCATTATACTCTTCACACTTCAGTTCTTTCCATTAAATTCACAATTTGAGCTATAGGTAGGATTAGCATTTACTAATCAAGTTGGACTAAATTCTTCCACAATGCTCCATTTTCTCCCTAGCTTTGACAAATATATTTGAGCTGGTATGTATGTTCCCGAACACTAGAATAAGAGACAGTCTTATTCTGTTAGGTTGCAAATTTCTTAGGGTTTCTGCTTTATTACTCCCTGATACCCACAGCAGAAGCTGAGAGATAGAACTTAAATAATTAACAGGCGGAAAGTTCTTCCACAAAGAAGGTGCTTTGTTAAACTCCATCATACTAGAATAAGTGAACTATAATTTCTATACAATGTACGAACTAAAGGATTTGGTGACAACCACAAGATACCTGATAAAGTAAATATACTGACTTAGTAGTATCAATGAAAAGAATGGAGATGGCATTTCAGCTATAAAAAGGCAGGCAAAAAAACCTTTTCTAGCCATTTAAATATTACTCAAAAAACGAGTACAACTGAGTAGAAAGGAAAACCAAAAATATTGTATGCACCTTTAACAATGTTCTTGCAATCTACTGATATACAAACCTCTCATTTTTTTCAGGTAACACAAATTCAATTTGTACTGACAGGAGAGATTAATAAAATCCTTTCATTTTAGTTTTTAATACCATACAGTGAAGTTAATAAATTCTGTGTTCTGATTATTCTAAAGAAAAAAAGGCTGGAAGAGGGACAGGGAACACAGTATGGACCCAACGTGACTCTAAGTAAGAATTTTTACTTAAGAAGTCATCAAGCAATGGAGTGTGAAGGATTCGGTGATGTGTCTTATTTTTGGACAGTAGTTACCTTCAGATGGCACTTTTATTGGTTTACGTCTCCTTTTCCCATTTGCACTTCTAGGTTTTGAAGTGCCTTTTCCTAAAACATAAGTTCTTTCCCCCCATTCTCTTATTATAAAACTAATTTATTTTTTAGGTACAACTCTTAACTATCTAGAAGAAACTTTTTTGTTGTAACTCAGAAGCTGTGAGTAAATAAATGCTTTATCATTCTTTCAGGGATTAATAAATTGACAAAGGGTTTATCCCTAAAATAAAGGGAGAATGATTACCCTAGGAATTATCTGAAAATGGGATAAACTTTTCCTTTTATTCAGAAGTTACTACACATTGTCAGTATACCCTTTTTAAATAGGCAGGAAGTGGGAGAAAAAAAGCTTTTTTAAACCTCACCTTTTTTTTTTAATGTTTGAAATCTTTTCGTCTTAATATGCTTGGTAAAATTAGTCTTTCAAAGGAATCAAAAATCAAATCTAAATACAACTCAAACCTTTTTTTTTTTTTTAACCATAAATGAATAAAATCATAGGACTTTGGACATAAACAACCACAGTAGTCTTTTTTTCATATACATCATTAAGTTACTTCAAGTGCAACTGAAAGCTATAGCACTTACTTCTGGATCAGTTCACATTCACTTTTTAACCTTTTGTCTTTTTTCACAAGAAAAATACAAACTGATCCCAAACATATTAAAGTACATCTGTGCATTAAATCCCTGCTCATTTCACATAAAGTAGAAAAAAAAAGTCAAACATGTTCTAGTGCTCAATGTAAACATTTTGAACTATTAATTATTTATTCATTTTCCTTAAAGGTACTTAGCAGTGTGTGTCACATATTCAAAGTTAACCTTAGGAATAGCACCGTGACCAAAAAAACCCATAAAAATGATTCTTTCTATAATCCCTTAGTTTTACTTCAGGACTTGAGAAGCTACCATTGTCAACCAGGCCTTCAAAGTCACCAGGCCAATTTCTGGGGGGCTTTTGTTTGTTTGTTTGTTTTTCAGATGAAACCAAAATACTGCTTCTACACACGAAGGCCTAACCATTTCGGACAAAATGAACAATTATGAACGGCTGACCAGCCAGTCAGTTCAGTTAATCCAAGTCCAAAAGACAAGACTAGTTCTATTGATGGAGCCTAAATGGTCAAAGTATCATTTTACCGAAAGAATGGATGTATTTATGAATATATTCCATATTGATTTATGGATTTTTTTGGTACCTTTTCCAGGTGATGGTAAACATGGAGTTATAACCCTGAGAATAGATATAAAACAGAGAAGCTTAAGAAGAGTTAAAATAAATTAATGGATATGACATCTATCACCATTTCTTAAAATTAAGGAAGTAAAGAGCATGCCATTAATTTCTTTCAGGTCAGTAGTCAAGGACAATTATCCTGACTCAATCTGTTAACAATACAGTTAACACGAGCTTTGAGAAGAAAAGCATCATAGTTTTGAAGTGGTGATAGCTCTCTCAACAACCAAAGCAGAGGTAGGTATACCACCTACCTCAGTTGGTAATGTCTAAGAACATCCTTCCCCTTATACCAGAGTAGAAAGAGAAAGTACCTTCTACCATGTCAACTGGAAAAGATAACTAAAAAGTAGCAACACTTAAGAACACTCTAACACTGATACCAGAGTCTGATGCTTTTCCTTATCTGCCACCTTAAGGATACACAGGAGAAAAGGGTTAATTTTGTCTGAAACCAAACACAGTTAGGGCCAATAAATAACAAAGGGTGGGAGTACTGTAACATACCCCTTTAGCTACGAAATATGTAAACCACTTGAATCAAGTCCATCTTCAGGCACAAACAAGCTAGGAATGGCCACCTATATACTGTTTGGAGTAGCACAACCTATCAAGTAAAAATATTTGGCTCGAAAATAAGTGTACTATGGTATTTGATGATGTAAAAGTTACGCTTTAAGTGGATTTCAAAATTATTTTCCAACAACACGACAGTTTCTTAGATTTAAACTAGAGGTCACTAATAAAGATACTTAGTTGCACCAGCAAAGAATGCTTGGGATTGCACATGGCAGCAGTAGACTAAAGAGATGGAGAATGACATTTAACTATTTTCCTACATAAATGAGATTTATGATTGCACTCTTAACAAAAATCAACTCTACAATTTCAAGAGATGGGGGGAAATTACACATAATTTACTCTTTTAGCCCTGTACACTCTATTAAAGAACACACTTTATCTAAATCTAAGGCACACAAACTCCTCTATTTCACAGAGTAAGACTATGGAAGACCAAGATTTTGGTTAAATTCCGTACATGGAAACCAGGAGATCTTGGAAAGACAAATTATATAGCATTTTGTTAGTGCACAATTTAAAAGAAAATGCTAGTACTATGGTCTGGCCTTAGAGGTTTATAATGCACAAACGTTAAAAAAAAAAAAAATTACCAGCACTTTATAAATTCAAGTTTATAAAATATAATGGATGATATTTTCCTTAAAAATAAAGCAAAAGAGAAAGACCCAACAGGGCTTTGAAACAAAAATTGGAAACCATTTCAATGAAAATGACCAATCTGGTGTAATGCATTCTACTCAAGTAGCCAGGGAAAGAAAAAAGTGGTAGGTACCTTGCCTACTAATCATGGTTACCCCTCCCACAATTGTTATGTCAGTATGCACAGAATATTTATGAAGAATCTGTAAACAAAGGTCACATGAAATTCATACTACAATAGGACTGGGATTAGAAACTACCACCTCTTGACGAATTCTGAAAATAACTGTATGACAATTGCTACCATGAAAGTAATGCTCATTGGTTTTGATAACCAGAAATATCTAGTGTTTAACATATTTCAAACTCTTGCTCTATGTAAATACTGTCAAAGTAGATCTGCCCCCAAAATGAAGCATATTTTGGCACCTGTGCTGAATGCTGCTACAAAGGCAAGCAAGTGCAAATAAAAATAACAGTCATGATTTAGTCACATTCATAACTTTTCATAGAAAAATATAAATATATTCCCTGAATTGTAGGACAAAAAATAATTTCAACAGCCAGCTTTCACTATAAATTCCAGTCCATTCCCTCTTTAAATGAACTGGTTTTCCCTCAAGGTCATAAGGTGCAATCATCAAAATCTAACACATTTTCTAAGCTTCTATCATCATCCCCATCATGGTATCTCACGGTCCTCCTACCCTGATTTCTCGTCTTTATTTTCGAACGCCGAAGAACTCTTTTAGATTTTGCATAGTCCACATCCTCCCAGTCATTATCATCCACGTTTAACCTAGGACGTTTGCTTTGTCTTTGTCGTCTCACGGTTTTAGTTACGTTAGCTGTAAAAGTTTTACCTTTTCTAACTACTTTTGCTTTTCCTTTCATTTTCCTCTTTTTGGTTTTTGTATCATCAGTAAAGTCAGCATCTGATTCAGTGGCAGATCCCAAATCTGAATCAGATTTGGGACTAGTGTCAGGTCCACACTTTGAGCTCCCTGTTGTTTCAGAAGCTTTCACATTTTCCAATTCAGGATGCAGTCTCTTCCTTTTTATTTCTGCCATCTCGGCTGCTTCCTGCGAATCCCGCATCACTTTTGTCTTACTGAAAGGAGCCTTCCCATAGGTCCTGAGTCTTCTGCCGTTCCACCTGCGTAGCCCATAATTCAGTTCCTCTTCAAAGTTATTCTCTGCAGTAGCTTTTTGCACCGGAGTTGACTCAGAAGAACATTTTCTACCAGTTTCATTCCCTGGAATATGGCTTTTTGAATCTTCCTCCGAAGACCCAATCAAGGAATTCTTTGTTTTAGAAGGTGCAACATTTGTTTTGTGACTACTGGTATGCCTGTTCTTGTGTCTGGAATTCAACATACCTTCAGAGTCTGAGTCTTCATTTAAAGACTGATTAATACTTTTTGTACTACCGTCTGAGTCGGCTTCAGGTGGCTTCCCTTCACAGCCATATTGTTCGTTTGGCACATCACAGTTTACATCTCCCTCAGAATCACTCAGTATCTTCTTAGCTGTGGTACATGCAAAATGGAGGGACTTTTTCCTTCCCTTTTTGCTTCTAGTACACACATTTTCTAAACCAACGTCTTCCACATCACTCATTAGCTTGATCCTAGTAGCAGCGGTGGTGGCACATCTTCGAGGACCTCTTAGGAGACCCGTTTTGGCTTTTGATGCTTTCTTAACCACCTTCGAATTGCTGTCTGAGTCACTGGAACAGACCCTTTTCCTGGCAACTTTTCTGCTTTGTCCATGGTCTTGTGATGCAGAGTCTAAAAATTAAGAGTACTCTTTTAATATTTAATAGAAGATTAAGTCTAAAGGAATTAAATGTTCAACATTTTAAACAACTGAAGTCCCCGAGATTCTTTCTAACTTGGAAAGAGGGTGGTGGTGAATGGGTTGGGCTTTTACTACTTTAGAACAGTGACTTTTTCAGCCTCAGCACCATCCGCAAGTATAACATACTCCCATCAATAACATCCCATGCCTTTCTGTCTATATACACAAAACACCTGACACTAGAGTATTTTATTTACATGAATACAAACTACACTCTCATCATCACTGCACTAAAGTATGCAAGCTCATCACTCTCAGCCTCCCTGAAACTTCTTAACTTCACAGGTTCCATCACACACTACAGTTAGTCTTAGCTTTAGATGCCTCTTGCTCTTTAATATTTTTCAATCTCCATTTACCAGGACAATCTTAATTCAGAAAGTTATCTAAATTCTCCATGCTCCAGAGTTATTATCAGTAAAATGGACATAATAATAATAATAGTACTTATCTCATAAAAGATATGAAGACTAAACTGGTTCATAAATGAATGTAAAGCATTTAGAAAAACTTCCTGATAAGAAATAGCTTGGTAACTTGGTAACTGTTCTTAGCTGCTATTATTATTATTTTTGTTTGTTTTGCGGTACGCGGGCCTCTCACTGTTGTGGCGTCTCCCGTTGTGGAGCACAGGCTCCGGATGCGCAGGCTCAGCGGCCATGGCTCACGGGCCCAGCTGCTCTGTGGCATGTGGGATCCTCCCGGACCGGGGCACAAACCCGTGTCCCCCGCGTCGGCAGGCAGACTCTCAACCACTGCGCCACCAGGGAAGCCCCTGCTATTATTATTATTACTTATCACATTCCTTTCAACCACCCTTTTCTTTCCTCTCCTCAAACTATTATCACCAACAGCTTATAAATGTGCTGGCCTCTGCTTTTCTTAAGCCCACAGCCAATACAATATCCCCATTCCATTATAAGAAGTGAAATCTCTATTAAAAACAGCGGAGCCTGTGCTCCACAATGGGAGAGGCCACAACAGTGAGAGGCCTGCGTACCGCAAAAAAAACAAAAAACAAAAAACAAAACAGCTATGGCCAAGGCTGCCTGTTACATGAGCAAAACTAAATGTACTCAACCAACAGTACACAGAGAAAAGACTAATGGAAGATGCAGGGAGTGGAGAGAAAACAGGTGGCAAAGAAAAGTTTCATGGGAAAAGACAATGTATGCTATAAAAAAAAAGGACAGTGAGAAAAATCAGTGAACCAAAGTTAAATGTTTTGAATTACCTTTCATAAAATTGTTTGGTTTTTCTTTTGTTTTCTTGTCATCATCTGAATCCAGATCAGTTTCAGATACATGATCTGAAAAACACTGGGACCCAGCAACAGGTTCACACTTCACATTCCCTGAACTCGGGTTAATTTCCATTGTATGACATCTACCGTCTTCTCCATCTTCTGCTTCAGATTCAGAGTCCTCTGAATCACTGAAGATTTTTGCTTTTTTAAGGAAAGCAGCATTCTTGCGACCTGTGTTGTATCTCCTACCACCATATTTTCTTGGTTCAGAATTTGCTTCCTCCTCTTCCTCTGAGATGCTTTCTGCCTTAGGTTTCTGCGAAGATGTTGATGGGCCAGCAGTTCTGTTACGTCCATTATCTGAATCATGACTTCTAGAGTCTTCCTCAGAAGACTCTATCTTAAGAAATTTTGTTTTAGAAGTTGCTGCAGTTTGGGACTTGTAACCATTAGCATGCCAATTTTTCCGGGCTACCCGCAAATCACTTTCTGACTCTGAATCTCCATTTTCAGTATTCTGGGCAGCATGAGAACTGGACAATGGTGATGGTTGATTCTGATCTTTTAGCTCCTCTTCTTCAAGTTCTGACTTTAAGCTCTGGTCATCCTCAGAATTATGTAATAACTTTTTTCTAGCTACAGCAGAAGCATTGCGGTGAGGCAGCTTACGGCCAGAACAGACACTTTCAGAGCTAGAATTCTCCTCTACGTCACTCATTAACTTTATCTTATTGGCAGCCACAGCAGCACACTTTCGTAGCACTTTTCGGTTACTTCCAGCTCTGGCTTTTAGACTTCCACCAGTCTCCAAAGAATTGTTATCAGAGTCACTTAAATAGACTCTCTTTCTAGTGGTTCTTCTGCCACATCCATTTTCTAAAGAAACTGGACCTAAAAATAAACAGTAAAATTAGAAAGGTCTTCCTTATTTCAATATTTTTAAATGACTTCATTTTAGTACTGATGTTCCTTATTTTTTTAATGCCAAAACAAGTTTACCTTTCTAAATTTAAAAAGTTTAAAGGACAGAACAGAGAGTCCAGAAATAAACCCATGCATATATGGTCAGTTAATTTACAACAAAGGAGCCAAGAATATAAAAATGGGAAGGGACAGTCTTTTCAATAAATGGTGTTGGGCAACTAGACAGCCAAATGCAAAAGAATGAAACTAGACTAATATCTTATACCATACACAAAAATTAATTCAAAGTGGATTAAAGAATGTAAGACCTGAAATCATAATACTAGAAGAAAACACGGGTAGAAAAATCCTTGACATCATTCTTGGCAATGATTTTTTAGATCTGACTCCAAAAGCAAAAGCAACAAAAGCAAAAATAAACAAGCAAGACTACATCAAACTAAAAAGCAAAGGAAATCATCAAGGAAATGAAATGGCAACATACTGAATGGGAGAAGATATTTGCAAATCATATACCTAATCAGGGGTTAATATCCAGAACTCATACAACTCAACAGCAAAAAAACAAACAATCCAATTTAAAAATGGGCAGAGAATCTGAAGAGGCATTTTTCCATAGGAGGCATACAGATGTCCAACAAGCACATGAAAAGATGCTCAACATCACTGATCATTAGGGAAATGCAAATCAAAACCACAGTGAGATATCATTTCACACCTTTTAGAATAGCTATCATCAGAAAGACAAGAAATAACAAGTGTTGGTGAGGATGTGAAGGAGAGGGAGCCCCTGTGCACGGCTGGTGGGAAAGTAAATTGGTGCAGCCACTATAGAAAACAGTATCGAGGTTCCTCAAAAAATTACAAATAGAAATATTATATGATCCAACAATTCCACTTCTGGCTATTTATCCAAAGAAAACAAAAACATGAACGTGAAAAGATATGTGCACCCCCATGCTCACTGCAGCATTATTCACAATAGCCAAGATATGGAAACAACCTAAGTGCTGATGGATGAATGGATAAAGAAGGTACACACCCACACGAATACTTCTCAGCCATTAAAAAAGAATGGACTCTTGCCATTTGCGACAACACAGATGGACCTTGAGGGCGTTATGCTAAGTGAAGTAAGTCAGACAGAGAAAGACAAATACCCTATGATCTCACTTATATGTGGAATCTACAAAAACAAAACAAAAAACAAGCTCCTAGATACAGAGAACAGACTGGTGGTTGCCCGAGGGTAGGGTGCACAGGGAGTGAGTGAAATGGGTGAATGGAGTCAAAAGGTACAAACTTCCAGTTATAAAATAAATAAGTTATGAAGATATAATGTACAGCATGGCAAGTATAGTTAATAATACTGTATTGCATGTTTGAAAGTTGCTAAGACTAAATCTTAAAAGTCCTCATCACAAGAAAAAAAAAAAATTTTGTGACTATGTATGGTGATGCACAGTAACTAAACATATTGTGGTAATCATTCTGTAAAGTACACAAATGTCAAATCATTACATTGTACACCTGAAATTAATATAATGTTATATGTCAATTTTACCTCAAGGAAAAAAAAAAGCCTAAAGGACATGTAATCATGTGCAGATGTGTTAAGTCAGTAAACCATCCAGGACTTGCCTGGTGGTGCAATGGTTAAGAATCCACCGGCCAATGCAGGCGACACGGGTTCCATCCCTGGTCCGGGAAGATCCCACATGCCGCAGAGCAACTAAGCCCGTGCGCCACAACTACCAAGCCTGCGCTCTAGAGCCCGCATGCCACAACTGCTGAGCCCAAGCGCCGCATCTACTGAAGCCTGCATGCCTAGAGCCCGTGCTCCCTGCAACAAGAGAAGCCACCGCAATGAGAAGCCCACGCACCACAACGAAGAGTAGCCCCCGCTCGCCGCAACTAGAGAAAGCCCACGTGCAGCAACAAAGACCCAATGCAGCCAAAAAATAAATAAGAATTTAAATTAAAAACAATTTTTTAAGTAAATAATAAATAAACCATCCAATATTTAGCTTTTGAATTCTCTTGATATACATTTCTCCAAAGTACCACTGAGCCTCTTCTCACCAGTTTTTCTTTTAGCGGCTCTGGTTCTGGTCACCCTGCTCCTGGCCAACCCACTACGTAAGGAGGATTCACGAGCTCTTGAACTCTCTTTGCTTTCCTCTGAACTATTTGAAGCTGAAGATGATGAAGAGGTACCTAAGGAATCTTCCATTTCACTTTCTAAGAAAAACGAAGCATCAACAGTTCATTATACATATTCTCCTATCTTTACACACAAGCAGTTATTTTGTAACAATAGACTAAAAGCAGATTCTTAAAATACTCTGAAGAGGAGAGTATATTTTTAAAAACCGTTGCAAAGAATAGCTGATAACATTTTGGTATTAAAAGGTACATAATCAGCATCTGAAATCAAGTTTGTTCTCTTATTTCTGAAAGTAACATGTTAATACTGGTTTGGATTCAGAAAATACAGTTTATATATTTTATAAACAAGCTTTCATTAAAAATTTAATTAGCTCCACTATCTTCTTCCTTCTGTTATGAGACAGGTATTTCCTATAGAAAAGACAATCATTTCAAGTCCAGTATTTCAGTAGGCTTTCAGGTCTCTTTCTAGTTGCCCTTCCTAACAGCATAGTTGTACCATACAGGCTTCCAAGCTCAAGAAAGAGCATTTCAACACACACACACACACACAAAAAAAGGGAGAAAAGGTGTGAGATGAATAATTTAAATAGTACAGGTCATTTCCCCCCACCATAATACTTAATGAGTATATGCACAAGTGTAGGCACAAGATAGGAAACCAAATTTCCTGTTCCTTCATCCAGGCTCAGTTCTTGCATGCCTATCACAAAATAAATATTTCATCAAAATGAATGGGAACATATTGTTGAAAGATAAAATTCTGCTCCATATTACAACCCAACTCTACGTCAAAGAACAGAGTGGCTGTTAGAGGGGTATCAGTCACCAAATCGTGTTTCTTCCTTTGAAACTGCTCTGCAGTTTGCCCAGTCTGCCTGCTCCTACTGTATCCCACTTCCCATCATGTTGACTATGTTTCCAGATTCTTCTCCTTCCCCACATATCACTGCCAAACTGATTAATCTTCCTGAAACAGAATTCGTCATGTGATTCCTTCACAACAAGGGACCCTACTAAGTAATCCAAACTTTTTTGCAAGACTTGCCAGTCTCTAAAATATGGCTGCATTTTACCTGTTTGATCCTACTATTTTAAATCACAAGAGTAATCATCAGACCATCATCACAAGTCACCAAAATCACTCAGAGCAATATGCAAGTATGTACACACCTTGGCCTCATTTGCACAATGCTAACAAACGGTCAGCGTCAGCTACAGTTATACCACCAAATAGTAATAAAATAAACAGTTTAGAATTTCCTAGGTCATCAGCTTTAAACTTACATGATTACCAAGTCCTTTTTTTAATTTAAAGAAATTTTTAAATGTCAAATTTTGCACAAATAGTGGTGCTTATATCACATTATTTAAAACCTGAAGGATTCAAATTTGCTTAAAATGTGGCTGCACCACATTTTAAATACTGCAAAGAACAGTATTTATCAAATATAATCTAATTATTCCATGTGTTACTTACATCTCTTCTGTTAAATTTAAGTTCCTTGAATGTCAAGGGCCATGTCTTACTTCTTTATTCTTTCCTCTAAACCCACAGTAACTACCAATGTTACAAACGTGAGTGCTCAACAGGTGAATATATAACATTCCATTTCTCACCAGATAATGTAGAACCATTTGTTAGAGTGACAGGTGTGTTTCTCCTCATTCTTTCTGATGATGCCGCTGAATCTGAAGAATCACCAGAAGTGACACCCGAAGAGACACTAGCACTTGTCTTGCGGCTTGTAGAGTAAGCTGCCCTACTTGAGGTAGACTGGACAGGAGAACCTACCAACTCAGGAGTTACTTCTGCCTGAGATTTTAAGCGCTTCTGCTTGGTATTTCTGGTCAAAGATAGAAAAAAATAAAACAATATTTAACAAAACAGAGGATGCCTAAATAAAGTGTATTATTACTTAACCTGAGAATAACTTTATGATCAAGACATTAAAATATTCATTATTAACATCTTATTCTAGCATGGATTACTGTTCTCTTTAAATTTGACATCATTTTATTCCAAATTTGAGTAATGAACAAATGATCCAAGTAACAGAATTACAGAAAATCATGCTGAATACCTTAGATTCTTTGGATTAAATGCTAAGGGGAGCCAACATTTATGTAATACAGGCATTCATTCATATTACAAATTTTTTTAAAGTTATATCTGCAATAGAGCTTGTGATGTGATTTGATTTTGATTGATTGATTGATTGATTTTTGGCTGCACCACGGCTTGGGGGATTCTCAGTTCCCTGACCAGGGACTGAACCCAGGCCACACCAGTGAAAGCCTGGAATCCTAACCACTTGGCCACCAAGGAACTGCCCATATTACAAATTTGAGTCTCAATATGACAACATTCCCGCTAGGCTCCTATTTATATTATATATTCCTAAAGACAGTATAAAATTAGGAGAAATTGACAAAACCTGAAGAGAAAGAACAGAGAGGCAAAAAAGAGAACAAGCTAGTTTTTTTCTGAGACCAATGTGTTTACATTTAAGTGCCAATTCACCAAAATTGGCCCCTGAGCCATGGATTATGGTGAAAAACAGTGGAAGTTTAAGATAAGACAATCTTTGGGTTTAAACTACAGATCTGAGTAATATTCATGTTTTTTAAAGATAATCCTTTCAAACAAAAGGATTTGGTTTTGTTTTCCTTTAAAACAAAAAGATAAAGGAGCTTTAAGGAGCTTAAAGATAACCACAATTAATCAACTATACTTCAATTTTTAAAAAACACAATTCTTTTAAGCAGTTATTGTTTATCATAATCAAGAAAATTCAAGTTTCCAAATGTAAATAGACCATGTTTAAAGACAAGTAGTCTTTCAGTTTCCATGTGTTAAATCCAATCTGTCAGCTACAAATGGGAGGGGGACAAATGACTGTAAAACGTAACATCTTCGTTTCCTCCTTTTATTAAAAAGTAAAAAATAAAAAAAATTTAAAAAAGAAAACTCAAACTTGTTATGTCAAAATTTTAACTTCCATTAATATCAGCTGGAGGGTAATACAAAAAGAAAGAATTATATGCTTATATACTTATCATAAACTTGATTTTTAACAGTAGACAAGGTGATAGTAGCTCAAGAGTGAAAACTTTTCCTTTTTATCCTATCCTTTATGAAGAAAAAAAAGGCAGAAGGCCTCAGAGACCTTTGGGAGACCATTAAACATACCAACATATGGGAGCCCCAAAGGAGACAAAAGGAGCAGAACAAAGTATCTAAAAAAATAATGGCTGAAAACCACCCAAATCTGATGAAAAACATTATACATCCACAAAGCTGAACAAATTTCAATAAGGATAAACTGAAAGAAATCCACACCTACAGTCATTTGCAAGATGAAGACAAAAAGAAAATCTTGAAAGCACCAAGAGAAAACTCCATATGCACAAGGAAGGGAACCTCAGTAAGATTAACAGCTGACTTCTCATCAGAAACACTGGAGGTCAGCAGGCAGTAAGATGACATACTCAAAGTGCTAAAAGAAAAACACTGCCAACTAAACTAGTCTTAAATAATAAAATTAGTCTTAAATAATAAAAGTGAAATTAAGACATTCCCAGATAAACAAAGATTAAGGGAATTCACTGCTCGCATGTCTGCCTTACAAGAAACATTAAAGGACTTCAGGTTGAAAAGAAATGACACCAGAGGGTAACTCAAATCTATAAAAAGAAATGGAGACCACTGGGAAAGGTAATTACATAAGTAAATATAAATAACAGTATAAGTAATTTGTTTATTCTTATCTGATTTAAAAGACAACTTCATAAAACAACATATAAAGATATAAACCGTATGACAGTAACAGCACAAGTAAGAAGGGGAAGGGAGCTAAACTAGAACAGAATTCCTATGTCTATGGGAATTAAATAGTATTAACCTGAAGCAGATTGTTTTCAATTGAGATGCATGGTGTAATCCCAACAACAACCATGAGGAAATCCATCAAGGGTATAGTGCACATTCAAAATGTACATGATGGGTTTCCCTGGTGGCGCAGTGGCTGAGAATCCACCTGCCAATGCAGGGGACATGGGTTTGATTCCTGGTCCGGGAAGATCCCACATACCACGGAGCAACTAAGCCCATGAGCCACAACTACTGAGCCTGTGCTCTAGAGCCCATGAACCAGAACTACTGAGCCTGCGTGCTGCAACTACTGAAGCCCGTGCGCCTAGAGCCTGTGCTCCGCAACAAGAGAAGCCACCACAGTGAGAAGCCTGCGCACCACAACGAAGAGTAGCCCCAGCTCGCCACACTAGAGAAAGCCCACGTGCAGGTTAAGACCCAATGCAGCCAAAAATAAATAAAATAAATTTATAAAAACAAGAAAGTACGTGAAAACAAACTAAACACTGAAAAGCTCAATTTCCATATTTCTACACGTCAAAATATCTATAAATTTGATAGTAATGTAAGCTACATAGTCATAAATGGCAAAATATAAATTAACATTAATTTACTATAAAGAGAATAAATCCTTCATTTTGTATTTCTTCTCTACAACTAATCCCCAGTGAAAATAGAGTGCATTACATCTAACTGGCATTTTCCCTTACATGATCAAATGCTCAATAGCCATACACAGTAATCATTTTACCCTCTGCATTAAAAAAAAAATTCTTATGCAAAAGACAAGTAATATTTTGAATAATCCTTAGTAAGACTTAGTTGATGCTTTTCATTAAATGCTTAAAATGTATATAATTAAAAATTAATGCAACAGCTCTATATGCAGAGAATGCTTTCAAGCCATAAAAAACAATGACTATTCTTTTCTGAATACACTGTAAAATGATTAAGAATTTTTAGCTTAATAAAATCAAAGAAGTAGCACAACCTGAAATACTTCAAAACTGCACACAAAGACTGCAATAACCAGTTTACCTGATACTTTTGTTAGACTGACTGACACGGTTACAATTTTGCCGTCTCTTGAACCTCTGGCTTCTTCGAAGTTTTTCACTGAATTTTTGACCAATCTTAAAATCAGAAGAGATTTTCTTCATTTTTTCTTCAAATAAGGCAGACAATCTCAACGTCATACTGTAAATCTGCAAGGACATGAGAGCAAAACTAGCACTATAAAAAATCTTTTAAAATATTTTTACAAGTAAAATTATAGTCATTGAGGCTACTTGTAATCTATTATATCACTGTTATAGATAAATGACTGTTCCTTACTTCATTGCCCATCCCTTCCCTGCAAGGACAGTGGAACTATCAAATATACACTTCTCTGATGAAAATAAAATAATTTTGTTTTGTTTTGTTTTGTTTTTTGTTTTTGCGGTACGTGGGCCTCTCACCGCTGTGGCCTCTCCCGCTGCGGAACAGAGGCTCCGGACGCACAGGCCCAGCGGCCACGGCTCACGGGCCCAGCCGCCCTACGGCATCTGGGATCCTCCCGGACCGGGGCACGAACCCGTGTCCCCTGCATCGGCAGGCGGACTCTCAACCACTGCGCCACCAGGGAAGCCCCCTGGTTGGTTTTAAGGTTGCTATTTAGGCAGCAGAAAAGCAGTGTCTCCTTGGGGCAAGGAAACAAAAGCACTTCTACACTAGTCTCTACCTGAAATCTGACTGCCTCTGATGCCACTTAGATTATTAATGGGAAAAAAATGATTGCTTACATCCAAAAGTAGACATTATGCCCTATAACTTTATATAAGATTGTGTTCTAATAACTTTTATAATTAATAACATCAAATCTTCAAAAGAACAGCAATGTGATGTTGAGTGCCACTATAAATAACTTTTTGGCACAGCTCTGTATTCACAGGAAGTACTCTTTACTCATCCACAATCATTCCTATGAAGTAGAAATCTAGTATTCAAAAGCTAAATATCAATCATTGTGGTGCATGGTAGAGGAGGGTGAAGACACTAACACTGGGGAACCTTTAAAAAGTATGCAAAATGTATTAATTTGCCATATTCATATATATATATATATACACACACATACATATACAGGTATCCCCACTTTCAAAAACACTACTTTCCACCACTTCACTTTTACAAAAGACCTAATTTATTAGTACTTGTTTTCGCTAACTGAAAAAAAATCCAAAGAAGATTTTCACTTTTATGAAAAAAGGTGAGAACACAGTTCAGCATTTGTTTGCAGCAAGCTGTTATATAGAGGTAGTGCATACCCCAAACAGCAAGAGTAGCACCGCCAAGCTCCTTCCCCAGCAACTACACTCAGCATCTCAGCATCAGGTCGCCACAGCTTTTTGTTTGTTTTTGTTTTTTTAGCAACATCCCAAACCAGAGAGATACATTTATTATGGTTGCTGAGCTTGCACTGACACCTTATCTATCACCCAAAGTCCATCAGAACCATTAGGGTTCATTCTTGGTGTTGAATATTCTATGGGCTTTGACAAAAGTATAATGACAACAGATTTTCCCGTTCGGCACTCTGAATATGTAATCCGACAGCCTTCTGGTTGGCAAAGTTCTGGCAGAGAAATCAGCTGACAGCTTTAAGGGGTATCCATTACGTTATGACTCTTTGTTTTTCTCTTGCTGTCTTTAGAATTCTCTCTTTATGCTTAGCTTTTACCATTTTAATTATGATGTGTCTTGGTGTACATCTCTTTGTGACTCATTTTCTTCAGGCAGGTCACCACAGTTCTGAACTGTATCTGTGAGCACCTGTGCTCTATCTTGATCTATTCCATGCATCTGTTATCAAGATGTGTCCTAACGTAGCTGGTTCTTCACCTAGAGATGGGGTACGTTCAAATACAGAAGGAAACCTATATACATATACATATAATAAGTATATGTGAAATCTGTAATCCCTCTTTATCTTTGAAGTGATCTTTAACAGTTATTTCCAGTATTTTGTATATATATTAAATTTATTCTTTTCCCTCAAACCTGAACTCTAGCATAAGTCACCAATTTTAACAAGAGTGATTTTTTTTCCTCAATCGTATTAAGTTTGAAAGCTCTGATAATCTTGAGTACCACCACTTTCATCTGAAAAATTCAATAATACATGTGAATTAAAAATAAAATTGTTTAACAAAAATGAGTGCTAAAATTATTGGTTCCTCAACATGAAAAAGGGCATGTGTGAAAAACCCACAGTTATCATTATACACGATGGTAAATGACTGAAAATCTTTCCCCCTTAGATCAGGAATGATACAAGAATGCCTGGTTTCACCACTGTTATTCAACACTGTACCTTAAATTCTACCAGAGCAATTAAACAAGAAATAAAAATAATTCAAATTGGAAAGGCAGAAGTAGAACTCTATCTGCAGATGCAATGATCCTGTACATAGAAGCAATCAAAGATTCTACAAGAAAGCTATTAGTGCTAATAAATTAATCCAACAAAATTACAGAGTATGAGATCAACACACAAGAACCTGCTCTGTTTCTATACACCAACAATGAACAAGCAAAAAAGGAAATTAAGAAAGCAACTGCAGGGCTTCCCTGGTTGCGCAGTGGTTGAGAGTCCGCCTGCAAATGCAGGGGACACGGGTTCGTGCCCCAGTCCGGGAAGATCCCACATGCCGCGGAGCGGCTGGGCCCGTGAGCCATGGCCGCTGAGCCTGCGTGTCCGGAGCCTGTGCTCTGCAACGGGAGAGGCCCGCGTACCGAGGAAAAAAAAAAAGCAACTGCATCTCAAATAGCATCTGAAACAATAAAATATGTGGGAATAAATTTAACCAAGGAGTTGTAAGACTCTCCACTGAAAATTACAAAACATTGCTGGAAGAAATCAGACCTAAATAAATGGAAAGACATCTGGCGTTAAGGGATAGAAAAACAGTAGTCAGGATGTCAATACTGCCCAAAGCAATCTACAAATTCAATTCAATCCCTATGAAAACAGACATGGAAAATGTCAATCCTCAAATTCATAATGAATTGCACCCCCTGAATTGCCGAAACAATCCTGAAAGAGAACAATGTAAGAGGACTCAAATTTCCTTTATTGCCAAACTTACTACTAAAGCTACAGTAAACAAAACATTATAGTACTGACACAGAGACAGACACTCATATGTATAAACCAATGGAACAGAACTGAGTTCAGAACTAAACCCGTATATCTATGGCCAACTGATTTTCAAAAAGGGTGCCAGG